GGTCACAGGACTTTTTAGGAGAGTGTAGAACAACTTCACTCTCTGTAGTACAACTGGCTGTAAAATCCACACCTGAAATGAAATCCAACTTTTTCCCAGAAGCTGCTCTTCTTACTATGTTCTGCCACTTCAGTGTATAATTTTTACACATTCCACTGAATTCTAGTTAGATGGAGAGCTGGGAAACAAGCACTGCTCTTCCTAAATTATGGTTTGAGCTTACTCATACTGGGAATTAATTTAGCTCTTTTGTATGAAGCATTAACATAACAAAGATCTTAATGTCCTCTCATAGTCAAGAAACCCATAATTAAGTTTTAGCCATGTCAGTCTAAAACTTTAAATAAGGCAAATTGTGGGGAAGAGGTAATTAAATAAATTAGTAGAATTGGAAAAAACACAAAAGCCCTTTCTCAGTTCTGGAAGGAGCAGTAACTGCAGCTAAATCACATTTTTTCACATCAGAATCGAGCGGCTGTTTTCAACTGCTCATCACTTGGATGATCCAGAGGGGGAAAAAAAGAAATTTTGCACTTGTAGAACAAGTTAAACTATTAAGTTAGCGTATTTTGGGGGCTCCTCTCCCTCATTCATCCTCTCTAAACCTCCTTTCATATATGCATTTGGCAGTCATTTGGATCTGTAGCCTCTTGACTTTGGATAGGGAGCAAAGTAGTAAGCATGATGATGTTTTCCAGAGACACTAAAAATAAAGGTTTTGTACAACTGATAGCACAGGCAATGACTACACAGAGAAAAGCCTTTCAAGAAATCTCTCCTTAGGAATTTACCATGATTTTGCTTTTGTCTCCTCGTGCCCCCTGACAGATGGATGGAAGTGATCCGAAGTGCCACCAGCTCTGCCTCCCGCACTCGAGCTCTGAGTCACAAAGAGCCTCACGCCTATTGACGGCTAAACAAACCGCCGTGGCGATTGTCCAGCAGCTGCTGATTTTCTAGAGGACGTTTGAAACATTTCTCCCTCCAAGTTTAGTAAAACTTACGTTTGTTAAAAGAAAAAAACAAAACAAAAAGTATGGTTTTGCAGAAGCTCACGGTTCTTCAGCAGAACTGTGATTTCTGTATGTTGAAAATAGCTTACCATCATCCCAGTGGCTGCGGTTCGTTTCATGTCTTGTATTTTGTCATTCTGTGCTGTTTTTAGCTTGTGCCAGTATTAAAATATTGTCCTTATTAGAGTGCCAAATGCCAAAAGACATTTTATTGCCTCAGAGATTGCACCTAAAAAAAAAGAAAGACTTCACAATCTGAAAACTTTCTCCTGTGAGGCAAACACTATTTCTTTTCTTTACATAAAAATATATTATTTTTTTTTACCATGTTAATCTGTAGACTGCTGAATTTTTAAATGTAGGTGGACTTTCACAGTATAGACTATAATTATATATACAGTAAGCAGTCTAACAGGAATGAGGTAACTTTCAGATTTCATGTTGTTGTATTTTTTTTTCTCCAGTCTTTCTACATTTAATCAACAAGGAATTACTAATTTTCTATCTTTAACAAGGAAAGAGTTTACAGCTCACTCTCATTTCCCTTTGGGGTTACAGCTCCATGTGGTATAAATAAACTATAGGATTCCTACCTAACCATTTTTCTTGGTGCAAGTTGACCAAATCGTTCATCTGTTGGCTTTGAAAAGTGAGTACTACTTGCAAGATGGAAAAAAAAAAAGTTTAAAAATAATCCAGTGCAATATTATTTGGGCTGTTAATGTACTGTGAATGGTATGTACAAGAAGAAATTAAAGGCTGTGGTGACATTCTGCTGTTTGTTTTACAGACTTGAAAACAAAACCAAAAAACCCTGTATGTTACAAGAACCACAGCTCTTTGTAATTAATTTGTGGAGTGTTTTGGTAACTAGCTGGGACTAAAGCACTGTAAGCCGGGTGTGCTACTGAACCCCCCAAGCCTTCGCCATGCCTGCTGCACATCCTGGTGGGATGCTTGGTTTTGCTGTTGGATCCTCAGTCACTCTGTCCCTCCTGGTGCTCAGTATACAGAGGGACAGGCCCAATCTGCAGCAGAAATGCCCATTTTGTGCAGCTGGCTGTCACGGCATCCACTATCATTTTTTGATAGCTGTCAGCCCACTCGGAAGGGCATCATCACAAAGTGTGCTGTGAGTAGATGGTTTTCCTTATGCTTTAAGAAACGCTTCATCAGGAGGCTGGCATGAACTTGCATTCACAGAAGTTCAACGTGCTGGAAACACCTCCCCACTAAGGGCCTTTGAGCAAGCAGTGCTAGACAGGGGGGCCAAAATATATTCTGTTACATATATATTCAGCTATAACTATGAGAAAGGAAGCTGGGACGATTCTGCCCCCAGCTTGTCATCTTCTCACTATTCGCTCTGTTAAATGCTTAAATATCTGCGTTGTATAAAGTGGCTTACAGCTCACAACAAAAGGGAATAAATACCTCACAGTACTAGCACACATACTGCTGTTTGAAGACAGTACATAAAGCCTTCTTTATTCTGCCCCACCCCAAAGAAAACCTCAGTGAAATTAGAGCTCCTGGTGAGGAGCAGGATGTTGTTGGTCACGAAAAGTTACTCAGGACTGTGCTTTATACAGCACACACACACGCACCCACACATCCATGCATGTATTTTAATGTGCATACATAAAATCTCAAGGAGTAGGCTGGGTTCCTAACTCCTTATGACAAGCAGAAGTCCCCCTGGCCAAACCTGAGCCACCCTGACAAAGGAAGATAAACATTTCAGTGTATTTTCTTCAGCTGTGTATAAATGTACAAACCCCTGGGCAGGTAACTGGTTGCAGTTGCTCTTTTTCTCAGATATTTCCCCTTTTACCTTTTGGTCAGGCAGTTGGACCTAGCTCAGGTCTTTTATAACAAGCCACGCTAAGCACCTCTGGTGTATTCTTGTTTTCTTTTTTAGGGGAGGCAAAATAAATAGGACAACTGCTGGCTACTGAATATACATTACTTTTTTTTTTTGACGTATAGGACATTTTTTTTTCTGGAATGAACTTGAGGAAGAAATAGAGGATACCTACATATTTCATCTATTGCAAAAGCCTGTGGTCTACACCACTAGAATTTCAAATACAAATGACTGCTGGGTCCCTTCATCCGTCCTTTGCAATTGTTATCTCTAACAGTGCTAACACCCTTTTTTGAAAAAATGGAAATTATATGGAGGGTCATGCCCTTAGTTCAGCTAAAATTGAATTTTATTTTAGATCACTGGGGCTTGAGGGATACACTCGTCATCAATGCCAGTTTTTGCTGAGCTCTCAAAAGAAGGAAATCAGATAACAGCTTTTCTGGTTACGATTCATTTTCATACAAAGAAAGCCTGGAAAATATTTTTTCTATAACATCTAAGGCATTTTTTTTTTCCTTTAACAGTATGATTCTTTTCTTTTTTCCTTTTTATTTTATTTTTTTAATGGAGCCAGTCACACTTCTGCTATTTAAATAGGAGTACATTTGTCAGCATTTTTCCAGTTCTTTATTCCTAAGGTTACCCCAAAACTGAAATAATGGTAAGAGAATAAAAGTGACAGTCTGGCCACTCTCATGTGTGTGAATAGATAAATCCATGGCTTACCAGAAAACTGTGACAGCCGACCACTTACTGCCAGCCCTGACCAACATCGTAGCGCTGCCATCAACTCAGCAAGGCTTGGAGAGGCGTCGGGTTCCCAGCTTCGTGCTAGGTCAGCATCCCATAACCAGCCACACCATTCTCTCGGGGCAGCGGTGGAAAAAACCCAAACTGATCACTCCAAGAGACTCACTCTGCTTGTTACTTGTTAGTACTTGCCTTGAATAATCAACTCCTGGCTTCGAATAATGAACGCATGAAAATGAAACACAAACTTCACTGTCACACTCGGTGGGATCCACAAAGCCTGCACTCCTGTGGATTTTTTTCCCCACGGGGTTAAGCATCTCTGTGGTTTGTTTCATTAAGACATGAGTCACGCTGAGACACTCAGACCTACTTATTTTCACAAAATTTTAATTAATTACTTAATTACTGTTAAGACCGCAATCCGTGTTCTCAAATTGAGCTAAAATCAGTCAAAATGGAATAAAGAGACTGAAAGACAAGCTAGCAGGCAGAGACAGGCGTTGGGATTTCAGACATCACGGTAAAGTCTGACTGGGAGAAGCTCTCACAAGGAAGCATTCATTTTAGAAACAAAACTGGGGCAACATCCCAAAGTTTTGTCTAAAACAGAAACAAGCAGAACCCAAAAAGTCTAATTTTGACCCTTTTTCCTTTCCACACATGACTAATTATGTGGTCTTCCCTATCAAGAAAGAATTGATAAAAGAATTGATAGAGGGAGAGAAAAAAAAAAAAGGCAGTTTGGCCCTCGCACATTTTTTTTAATAGCAGAAAATAGTCATGGAATAGCACTATAGGAGTGCAAATGTTAGAAAGATTGTTATTCAGTGATGTGGGTGATTAAAGATGCACTACTGGGGGTTAAGGTAATGCAACTTGATGCAAGCACTTCATCAGTTTCACGGGGCTGTTAGGATGCCACATAAAAAGCAGGTTTTCAATCACTGCCATTTGTGAATTGGCACGTTGCCATACTCGAGGACAAACTGTCATAGAAAACCGCATACATTAAACCAAAACATTACACTATCAATCACTTGTATGTGTGTATTACAGAAAAAAAATAACTTTATCAAGAAGAGAAGTGAACTTCCCACATGGGTAGGCCATCTGTGAGAGTTAAACTTACTGAATTCCCCCAGATATTCTCAAGTCTTGCTCAGAAAGCGTTGTTCCAGCTGAAACAAGAGTTCTCTTGTACAAATTTTGAGATCCTTACAATTGAAAGCTGAACGCTGATTTATAAACTTCCTGCTTAGCGGTACTGACATGCGGACAAGAACTGACCTAGAAACCCACAGGAGCATCCCCTTTGGGGAAGGGACCCCGCAATCTCATCTTAACTGACCACTCAGATGGCGAGATTTCATTAAACGTTTCCTTCTTTATTTCTAGGTCATGTAGTTTACAAGGAGCTTTATTACGTTGGTGTCGAGTGACAAAAGTAAAAGTTAAGTACATGGTTATAAACAGGCAGCAACGTTACAGAAAACAAGATATACACTGTAATTGTCCTCTGTAATCATGCTTAGAAAGAAGGCAGAAAACCATTACATACGAGTTGTCTACTGCATATGCTCAGTGCAATTACTAGCACATCTGCAAAACATAGTTAAAAAGAGCAAGCTTGCAGATTTGTGCTATACTTCAAGCTCCTCCCCAGCAACTTACAAAAATAATTGTGATTGTACTCATCCTTGCATTGTACCTGTGCTTATTAACACTTCTGATGATCTCCCAACGGTGATAGTTTTGAAGGCAAAAAATATTTCCTTAAAAGTAAGGAAAACATGAAACCTTTACAAATTGGTATCGTTATCTTTAAAAAAAAAAAAACAACACCTAACACAATGGTAAGGAGTAAGAGCTAAGCCAGACGTTTCACACGTACATTAAAAGCACAGGCAGATGAAGGAGTTGGGGTGGACAGGCCAGGAGGTGAACTCCAAAGACGCCGGTTTCTTTGCAGCCAAGTGCATACCCTTACCTTACCCCTCGCCTACAGAGAAAGCGAATGCCCCAGGAAAACCACCCCAGAGCCATGGGGTCAGCCGGCCTTACCCACATCTGCAAAACGTTTGGAGCGGCAAGGAAGCCATGGCACTTCAGGAAAGCACTGCTCTGTCAGCTACCGAAAGCATCCTCTACTACACTGATCGCGTCTTCGTGCTTTAGTAAACCGGTGACCAACTACAAAGTGCAACTGCGAGGAAAATTAAGTTAAAAAAATAGATTACACATCTGATCGTTACAAAAAGCAAGCCTTCAGTGCAAATGACTGGGTTTGTTTTCTCTTTAAACAGAAAGTGAGTTTATTGAACGCTTAAATCTTGAAATCCCTGACAAGTAAGCAGTTCTACTGTTTGCATAAATAGGGCTAACCTGTTGCTTAGTATAGTCAAGACTGAATGAAGATGCATCGCCTGCAAATATTAAAAATAAAAAGGTCGGCGCAACTTTATAACGAATGTTTTCAGCATGAGACAACCTCTCAAAAATATCAATACCCTTATTTTTCTGTCAGAAACCGAGGCCACGCTTCTTTCAAATGAAGCTCTTCTTCTGTTACCAATACAGTTCTCATTTTTAAAGCATCAATACTTTCCAATAGCAAATGATTGTAATTTTACATTCAAGATACAGCACACTTTTTGTCAGTGAATCTCACTTTAAGATAGTCTATATTTAAATAATCTATATATTACATATAAAAATACACATCTCTACCATAAACAAGGTCTTGTCTTTTTGTGAATGTCCCAGCCTTTTGGCTATGCAGCCTTGCTGTGTGTCTTACTTATTTCAAGCTCCCAAACCAAAGGATACAACCATCAAGCAAATTCTGTCACCACCTACTCAAATGGAGAAGTATTTCCTCAACACACAATCCCGGAATGCAACAAAATATGTAACTTAAAAATATATGTATTTATTTCTTTTTAAACGATTGGTCAAGAACGACGTACCTTAGGACTTCATGCAATTTCCTGATTGAGAAATTCTTGAGATTCCAGCTACCACCATACATTTAACATCTCTGCTGAATCTCTGAGGTCTACGCAACTCCAAGGAAGCTAACTTTAATTTCAAGTGCTTACACTGACAGCTTCCATTTTTCTATTTCTATTTTGAATGCAAACGCATCTATTTCTTTCCACATGCTATAGCAGCACGTATTTATCAGATGGCTGAATGTTCTGACACAGAGATGTCAAAAGGTGAATTTCCCACTGCACAGCATTCAGCTGCACATCTCACGACAGAGCTGACTTCATTTCCTGGAGGGTAAGCCTAGCCTTCAAGTTTAAGAGCACAGAAAACATGTTTAATGATACCGATCAAAGAGGAGTTACAAAACACCGCTCAAATTTATGCATTGTTCAATTTATCTTAAATTCGCTTAACCATAACGAAAAACCACGCTGGCAAATGTGTTGTGTCTAAGAACATGGCTACAGGAATGAGATACCCATTTCTTTGAACTATTTTTTTTTTTAGCCTGCTCAGAGTTTCACAGCTCTGTTAGCATAACAGCGTCTTTAACACTGTTAAATTACTTAATTATTAAGGCTACAAATATTCATATAATAATGGCTAGCATGGTGCTGTGAAGTCCTCCACAACAATCTCATCAGATCCAGAATGATTAGAGACGGAGTCTTCTTATACGAAGCCAGACAGATATGCCTATGCTTATTTTAATCCTTTGCTCAAAATCTTGTACCTTTATTAAAAAAAAAACAACAAAAAACACACTTAAACAGATATCTCACTGTCTAAAACCTAAAATCATCATTTTATTTCCATTAAATGAAAAAATGGTCTCTTAGGTACCAGAAGAATAAGCGCCTGCACATAGCCTGGATGAAACATGCCAAGGTAAACATTAAAGTAACATTGTAGGTGGGGAAAAAAGCCACCTAATCAGCTCTGTGAATAATATTACTATTTCCAAGGAAATTTAAAAGCTTAAGTCAGCTATCCAGGAGCTGTCACAGGAATACTTGGAATTTTAGAATTCAAAAAATTTCTTTTTTTTCTTTTTTTTCCTCCAGGGTTAGTAATAGGACATAGCATATACCACTCTTGGCTCAGTTTTGCAGTCCTTCTGTCTGATTTCTATCACTTTCAGTAAAAGGATGCACAGATTTAGGCAGCAAGACGAAACACTGAATACATGGATCATTTTTCTCTTACGCTGCAAGACATTAATTTTAATGACAAAAATAGGCGTAATGAAGAAACATTTGCCACTGTCTTAGAGCCAACATCTTGATGAGTTTTCAGAATAAATGCAAAAAAAAAATTTATTTGTGTGAGCATTCGAGTGTGTTTAGGTGGAAAAGAGATTTTATCTGAATTTTCACTACAAGCTTCACAAGTATCTATTACTAAAATTGAACAATACATATGGTTCAGAATTTGCATTGGCACAATTTAAAACTGAAGACATGAAAGAGCTCATTCTATAGGAAGAAAAAACAAAAACAAAACAGAATAATTTAAATTTAAAGCTTTGAGAGACAAGGTGTATTCAATTTAAAACAACCAGAAGTAGTACCATAATCAGAAAGTCACACTCTGAATATAGATAAAAAGGAAGAAGTACTGGAGAAACAGAATAAAATTGTGTCTTTGCTGAGGTACGAATAGAAGGTTCCATTGTACAGGATTAACTATCTTTCAATGGCAAATCCTTCACATACAAAAAAAATCAATCCAAGACTCACTTATCACGTAATTCAAGATTTACATGTAATAAAGGCAAGGCAATACTCAGTTATGGCCTGTCAAATATTTACCCCACTAACATTATCTACAGAAGCACTTTACCATTTTGTACACAGTGATTCCTTATGCACGTTGAAAGGCTCTCATTTAAAAAAAAGACATTATATACATATCTGTACACAACTCCAACAAACATACGCCATCTCCCAGTGGAATTCTTAAAGCAAGATACCTGAGGTTTCTCAATATCTTCAATTTCTCTATCACAAACCTAAATATACATTGCAAATTTTACAAAAAGACACCTCCCTGGAATATGTGCATTGTCATTAAAAAAACTATAGCTTTAAGGAGCTGAAAAAGACTGCCTCCATCTGAGAGACTTCATTTTCACTCTTGCACGTTTAGGAACATCCTTCCGCCAAAGGACATTCTGGTGACTGAGGGGAGAACGACTTCAGGACGCGCTTCTTCACTGCAGACACCATTGGATCTCCGTTGTCTTAGAAAAGTCAGAAAGAGTACTTCAGTAGGATGAAGTACTTCCTCCAGCTAGTGAGTATCTGAAGAGGAAAAGGAATCATTATTGTCCTGACTTTCGAAACAGCATGATATAACAAGCAGCAACTAAAAGTTATTATCCTGTTACATGCTGTTGAAGTCCCAGCCTTTTTCCTTCCAAAATGGCATCCACCAGTACTGTCAAACTTTAAGGAAAAAAGCCATAGATCTGAGTAACACATAAAATATGTTTAATTACAACATTTCTGCTCTTCTAACAGGAAAAACAACCCTGTGTTCAAGTCTGTTATCAAGAAGTATACGATGATACAAAAATTCTGTAGGCTATGGGCAAAATTTAGTGATTCCAACTTCCCTACTCATTCCTAATCGTTCCGAAAATATCACTGGGGCAGAAAGCTTGTACTTCTTAGTCTAACCAGATTCTTAAACCATCTGAAGAAAAACAAGCATTTTAATCATATTAAACTTCCAATCAACTTTATGGAATATAAAAGATCAGAACTGAATGGGGAAGGTAAATGGATTCAGTTCATTGGGCAGATCTTCTGAGAGTCCCAACAAACCCATCTAGCCCAAACCTTGGGAAGTACGGGCCTAACCAATCATAGGATGAATGAGTATATCAATAGAAACACATTGTTGAAGAGTCATTTTTCAATAATTCACTATCAAATGGAGAGAGGATTTTGCCCATTGCAAGTGGATACAATAAATGATTAAATGATGCAACAGTGCATATGTTTTGCAGCTTTCAAATAAGAAGAAATTACTCTTTTCAGAAGCTGACTAGTTCCAAAAATACTCATCAGGCTGTGGAACAGTTCAAATTCATTTTTAAGATGAATCCTGCCATTCATTCCTTTACGGAAGGAGTGCTAGCATGTTGATGTACTAGCTCAATACCATCCCTAGGGTAAGAGAAACTTCACCCACACATGACCCATAAACAGACATTCCTTATGAATGATTCTTTCACTCCTTCAAAGAAAAGGGAGTGTCTGCTCTGACTGTTGCAATAAGGTATTATGGCTGAGAAAAACAGCAAAAAGGCCAAAGAAGCAGAGCCATGACAAAAGGAAAATAAAAAAAAAAAAGCAAAGCAGGTATCTCCTAAGACAAAAACAGTAACTGTTGCTGTCATGACAAGTACAGGTAAAATTATTTCTGGCATCCACAAATGAAGTGCCCAGTGAAAGCCTGTCTCCACATGATCATTTTCAGCTGAAGTTGGGTTGTTTTTGTTTTGTTTTGTTTTGTTTTTTTGCTTTGCTTTGGGTTTTTGTTTTGACAAAGGAAACAACTGTAAGCACAAAACTGTGTTTTCCTTTATTAAAAAAAAAGAAATCCACTCTTTCCATTTAGCACTAGTCACATGCTTGTAGGGTAAGATCTGCCGTTTTCTGTAATCCTTAGTGAATTATTTCATTACCTCTGAAGCCTCTGCACAAGGTGTGACACCATGTTATCTGCAATGCCTGGAGAAGCCTCTTCAGCTAAATAAATCGCCTTTCGCAGTTCTTCTATGGAATCTGTGTTACCACCACACACTTCACTTTTCTCTTTCAACTGAAAGAAAAAAAGGAAGTGACACATTAATAATACATTCATAGTATTTCCATAAACAACATAATGCAAAATCTTACTAAAAAGTGACTGCTAGTGTTCACAGTGTCAAGATTTCTTTCATTACACACCCTCACATCCTGAAGACCTTCCTGAAGTTAATCTGTGCAGTAGTTATTTGGGTGTCATTCATCCTCACAAGATTTCAATCATTCATATATCCTTTTCATTCAAAATTCATGACACCACCCCACAAAACATGCACTGTTTGGCTGGAGCTGCTTGGTGTCAAGATGTGTTGCTCACACATGCACTTTTGTATACATCTTACACGTCTATAGGTTACACTTAGACACCGAGAGCGCATTTGTGTGAGCACTGTTAGAAAATGCTTTCACTGTCAACATGTGCAACAGAAAATCCTGAGTGCTCTCATCTTCTCCCTGAAACAAAAGATCCCACAATCAGACAGGAACTGGGGTTTGAGAGGGAAGGTCTCAGTGCTCAGCTTATGTAGGCGCTGGTATAATGTTCAGAGCATGACTGGTGAAATAATTTCTTGGAAATCCCTAAAGAGCTTTCAAAAATCTTATCAGGGTCTGGGCTTCCTTAGAAGAAGGCGTCATTTTACTAGCAGTAAGGGTGAAAGAAGGCATGGTCGTCTTTCAGGGACTGGGCTTTCCCCAGCAGGCTGGATGTCTGCACTTACAAGTGTCTCTCCACATTTATCACTACAGCAGTTGTCAAGAGGTGCTTTGCAGCGTCCCCTTAAATCAACATTACTCCTTAGAAGGGAAAAAAAATGGTAAAAAAAATACTCCAGCAGGAGGCTGGCTGTGCATATAAGTGCTTTGGACCAAAGGGCATCTGAGTTGTTTATACAGAACTGAAGAACAGTGGAACAATTTCTCTAGAAACTCTTCAATTGGTTTAAGAGATCCCTGTGAACGCTGGAGCTATCGCTGGTCTGCATTAAAAAAAAATTACACATGTGCCTGCACAGTTGTGCACCCCAGTAATGAAGAAAGCTTGGTGTCAACACACGGACAGGCTGCACCATTTTCTTGGATGTAATTTGTGCATGCAAACACATTTAGCCCTGGTCAAGTATAGCAGAGGATTTTGTTACATGGAATAAGCACGATCCCCAGTAAGCAGAAAGCAGAACTGGTGTATCAGGACATCTTTTGGAGTGTGGTATTAACACAAGACATTCCAGAGGGAGCAAAGTAGCAGTGAAGTACTTCAGAGGTGTCCAGGGAGAAGAGACATCTTCCCAAGCATTAAAGTGGCCTTTCAGGACTTTCTGAAGTCGATTTTCAACAGCTGTCAGCAGCTACAGCTCAGGAGGTGCCATCAGCACTGAGGAAAAGCTCTTACTTAAGAGGAATGTGAATCTTGCGAGGGAAAACACAGACAATAGTGATGGTTCTGGTTCCACATTTAGTGATGGCTTCTAGGGAAGATGTTAGGGCTCCCTTCTGAAAACAACACAGGTCTGGACAGGAAAAGATGAGGGCACCACCTGTGTACAACAGCTCACACACAACGTCAGCAGCTCGCTGAAGATAACAGATAACTGACATGCATGATAACTTTATTCATTCTCAGGAGCTTTGTTTTTAAAAACCAGCTTTGCTTAAGTGCCTCAAACTTCAGACTGCTACTAGCACCAGAGGCAGGGCCCAATAGTTGAACAAACCTCTTCAGCCACGGCTCCTGATTAAGTTGTATCAGAGTTCAACTAAAAAAACAGGATGCTGAGCACAACCTTCCCCTGTAAGATTACTTAAAGACAGCTGTTGGTTTTTACATCTACTGTCTTCTATGTCGAAAGTTTTGAAGACACCATGACGACAAAAATACCTAGTTTCGTTCTTTTTGGAGGAGTTCCATGGTAACAAATGGAACCCTGAAATGTAGCACACTGCTTCTTCCAGAGGGCACATAATTACCATGCCTTTAAGGAAAAGGAAACCCTGCAATGAAATTCTGGAGCAGCTTGGGAAAGTTGTGGCTATCCACCAGAAGCTGCATGAAATGGGAGCCTGAAGCATGATCCAAAAGCAGGCACCAGACTAAGACTTCTCCCACTGCACAAACCAGTGTTTGAGGAAGAACTCTTCTGTAGCTTCTATACACTGAGGACATGGAAGAAGATGGCAGTCTTACGAAATAAAGTGAAAAATGTTTCTGGGGACAGAAAGCAGCAATAAATGGAATGGCAAGCAAGAAAGGGCAAAGAATAAGAGAGCAACTAGTCAGCAATACCACGGGAAGGAAAAACCCAGAGCAGAGATCTCCAGAAGATATGTAGGAAAGGGCATGGTGGAGAGAAAGTGAAAATAAAGAAAGGATAAAAACAGAGGATGGACTGAGGAAAACAGCGGATGCAAGACCCACATCACGCTTGATAGGGGTGAGGGAGGAAGAAAACCTAAAGGAGATGTGGAGCAATGAGAGAAATATTTGGGAGATGGGAAAGTCAGGAGTATCCTTCCTGAGCAGCATGCAAAACAACCTGCTGAATCATGATTTCATTCATTATAGCAAAGTTAAGACAACATTTTCACTAGAACAACTTTATTTCTGTAATGGTTACAATGGTTGAAAGCATTATTTAAATAAAATCTTTCATAGCAAAGATAGGGTGTGAGAGGGAAGGGTTTTTTTGTTTGTTTTGTTTGTTTTTAAGATAGAGTTCTATCAACATTTGTAAATAATCACATATAAATAAATATCTTCCCCTTCATATGATTTTGATTTATCTTAGTATTTGGAAAAACAAATATAAAACCATGGAAAATTCAGAATGGAAACAAATTATAGTTTTCAATCTGAAATTCGAAAGTTAAATTCTTGCTGGGCTGGGCTGCAGCCAAATATTGGCACAGTGAAGGGCTTAAATTTTGTAACAGATAAAACTATGCATAAAATAATAAAGAGATAAAGCAGTGTCAAAATAAAAAATAAATAAGTAGGAATGCTCTAATCCAAATATTTACTTGCCTTGCAATTTTTCATATTCATTGTTTTCAGCTGTTAGTTTGCTTTAGTGTGGGTGATGTTGCTACAACGTTTAAGTACCACTGTTGGAAGCTAAACTAAGATCCTCACTGACATACAGGAGAGCAAAGGCTACAGGTAAAACTAACACAGTAAGTACTAAATGGGATGTAGAAACCTTTGTAGAAACCCTTTCATCATTTATTTTTCAGAGATATAAATCCTAGAATTGCTTAAGCTTTGAAGCAGTAACTTACCTCTGCAAATAAAGGGGATATAACTGTAGACAGGCATTGGGATAGAGGCCTCTTTGGGATGTCCTTTTCCTAAGAAGAAAACAAAGTTTGGAACAATTTAATTTCTGAAAAGAAACATCATCACTGCATTCTGTTTCTAATCAGTGAGGAAAAAATAGTTCCAACATGCCACGCTTCATGAAAAATGTGTTTCTATGTATATACGAGTATGTAAATCATCTTGCACCACGGTGCTTTATTCCAAGCACTGCAGAGAATGGATGCTGAACTGAAGTTTAAGGCTGTGGCACTCAAATATATGCAAACTCAAAATTATGAAGAAAAAAAAATCCTACCAAGCATTCACCAAATCATATGAATGCTGATATTTACAAAATTTTTACAATTTAAATGCTTTCAGAGTTATAAAAAAAAATGAACTTGTGAAAAATCCTAAATCACCCCACTAAATTATTAAAGCACCAATTATCTCCTTTTACAATTCAATCAACACTTTGAGCACCTTATTTCTTTGGAACTCCAAAGGCTGGGCTGCTCCATTCTCTAGATTCTTGGGGTCTTTTTCTCTTATTGTAAAGATCCACTCTCCTGAATCACTCCCACCTGAAGCCTGGCCATCTGGTTCACTGTGAGGAAAGAAAGAAAAAAGAAAAAAAGGATTATTGTTCATCTTCCTTCCACATATAACTTCCATTCAAGACCAAAATCAGGATTCTATTGTGCAAGCCAATGAATATAAAGACAACTGTGAAAAGTAATACAACTTATCTTCTCGAGAAATTAAAGTTTTTTGTTTTTGAGAAAATAAAGCTAAGATACTTCACTAAATGCTAAATTAACTTCAAGAAGAAATAGAGACATTAAAAGACTGAAAATAACTTCCCAAGTTACATAAACAAACAACATGAAGCGTATTATTTCTATCTGAAAATTGGCTGTAGCATAGTATCTCAACTAGGCAGCAGAATTCGGGGGAAAAAAACAGAAGAAATAATCCACTGCTTTTTCCTCTAGGAAAATGATTAAGACACTAGCATAGAATACCTTTCTAAAACTCCCACATGACATCCTGATCTCCAGATGGGAGAGATATGGATTTGAAGGGTGGACTACTCAGGATAAGGAATTGAATGGGTGGCTGCACCCAGAGAGTGGTGGCCAATGGCTCTATGTCCAGGTGGAGGCTGGTGACAAGCGGTGTCCCCCAGGGGTCTGTCTTGGCACCGGTGCCATTTAATACCTTTATCAATGACATAGATGATGAGATTGAGTGCACCCTCGGCAAGTGTGCAGATGACACCAAGCTGAGTGGTGCAGTCGATACAGCAGAAGGAAGGGATCCATCCAAAGGAACCTGGCCAAGCTTGAGAAGTGGGCTCACATGAACCTAATGAGGTTCAACAAGGCCAAGAGCAAGGTGCTGCACCTGGGTCAGGATAATCCCAGACCTGAGCACAGCCTGGGAGAAGAATTCACTGAGAGCAGTCCTGCAGAGGGCCACAAAGATACTCAGAGGGCTGGAGCACCTCTCCTATGGAGAAAGGCTGAGAGAGCTGGGGATGTTCAGCCTGGAGATAAGAGGACAGAGAGTAGTGAGGTCCTGGCACAGGCTGCCCAGGGAAGCTGTGGCTGCCCCATCCCCGGAGGTGCTCAAGGCCAGGCTGGATGGGGCTTTGGGCAAGCTGGTCAAGTAGGTGGCATCCCTGCACATGGCAGGGGGCTGGAACTGGGTGATCTTTAGGGTCCCTTCCAACCCAAACCAGTCTATGATTCTGTGATGCCTTGTTTATTGAGGTTGGGGATGAACTGACAAATTTCTTCCTGATTCAAAATATTCAGCTAAAAAAAATAGGGACACAGCATGGATTTAGCATATTATATTGACATAAATAAATCTTTTGCCACATTTTTTGTGGATGTCATAGTAAACTATTTTTTTTCCTTTAACTCCTGGGAATTTGAAAGAATAAAAATATTTATGCTGAGAAAAACCTGTCACAGTGTTACATTTCACTTCGCACTGTAATAGATCTCCTTCTCTAAGCTCATTTCTTTATGAACTGTGAATTAAGAGTGATCTGCAACAAAACCACCCATTCGAATAGCATCTTGTAGATACCATATAAAAAGTATTTTTAGTGCCCTACCAAGCCAAAAAACATATGATCAGCGTAAGAAAATCCTTCAGCATCTCTGCCTGAAATCACATCAAACTGTCTGTCAGGGAAAGAGGCAGATCTGCTTTCCATTAGCTCTAGTGAGCTGATCTATTTGGGAAGTTAGCACTCCATTGGATCAGCACGCCAAATCAATTCACCCTTTTATCACATCTAATACGAGGGCTGCTGTGGAAGTAGAGGGGAAAACAGGCTGAGATACTATGCTAAATTGTCTCATAAGCATTCAGCAACCATTTCAGTTCCAAATCCCCATTATCGTAGGAGCATTATACCATTAACCCTCTCTTACACAGAAGGATATGCTTCTGCTCGCTTACTGCAGGTAGCCAAAATGAAGGGCAACCTGCCACCTAGGAGACAACTCCTCTCCTTACAGGGCCACATGCACACACAGCACAGTACAAATGTACACTGCTAGCTATTTGTGCAGGGTGAGGCCTAATTTTGCTCACAGGACAGGAGCACAGCCAGCCTTATGTCCAGAAAAAAAACTTAGACGCTACATAAAAGAGAAGCTAGTGAAGAATGGGCCAGGACAATTATTGTCAGTAGTTAAGTTACTTGCATAAAATCCCTTACAACACTGAAATTAAGATTTCATTAGCTTACCAAGGCTGCTAACGTGAAAAGCTGTAAATGAATAACAAAACATAGGAATATATGTGCTAGAAATAACTACTTGTCTCTTTATTTACAAAGAATATTTTATAAATTTGTCAGACTTACGTATCTGAGTCATCAGAGCTGGAGTCATCGTGACTTTGTTCAGATTTCCACCTCTTGTGCCTATCAATAAGTTCAGTCAGGTAGGAAGTTTTCTTTGCATTTCGTAAAATAAATTTGTGTTTTAAGAGTTCCTTTGCACTAGGTCTCTAAAAAAAAAGTCGTATTTGAAAGTGTTAAAGTAACTCACTGTAAAAAAAAAAAAGCTGAATTACACTCCTTCTTATGTAGAGACTTATGATAGAACTTTACAGAAGTGCCAAAACAATATACTAAATTAATTTCCTTTGACATTCAAACGTAGTGGAGCCTGGGGTTATCACTCACAGCAGAGTTTTCCAACATCCCTATGGTTATTAGAATTGTTGCCTCCACTTCAAAGCTTTCTGAAGAGTTTGCATAGCGCTTTACTAACCTAGCTCTTAAACCTCATATATAAAAACAAATATTCACAAGAAAATCTCTCCCTTTTAAACCAGTTTCTGCATTAAGGCTAGGCAAAGCAAAAATACATTTGCCTCCTTAAAAAACTGTAATTATTTGTTCAAGGATTTCTCAGTTTTCAACTTTATTCTGAATCCTGTCTGTAATATATATACATATATACATACATATATATATATATATAAATGTATGTATAACTCTTGATAAAATCTGATCAAGTTTATCTGTGGGTGGGCTATTTCCTTACCTGTCCTACTCTGCCTGTGCATCACTAAATGCTTTGTCCATTTTGAGAGAGTAACTTCTGCATGAAGTAAGCTTACAGTTCATTCATTTCTTAAAAAAACAGAGTGGTAAATAAATACTGGTGTTATCAGTAAAGGAAGAAGTAACCAAACTTTAAAAGGGCAAGTTGCAACTTTCAGTTAATCTTTCCCTGTAAGTCACTAATAAAGATTCCCCCTTTAAACTCCTATAAACGTTTTTTTCCACAGAGAATTCATGTAAACCAGTCAAGTTCTTTATGACATATTGAAGCACAACTGAAACTCACAAAGCTTGGGTCCTTGTTCAAGCAGGCCTCAACAAATTCTTTGAGGGATTTACTGAAGTTTCCTTCCAACGTTGGTGGATTGTTCTTAGGAATGAGGAACAAAACCTTCATCGGATGTAATTCTGAATGAGGTGGTTCTCCTTTTGCAAGTTCTATAGCCGTTATGCCTAATGACCAGATATCTGCCTGTAAGAAATAGTCATTTAAAGATTAAGTTGAAGAAAGAGGACACAATGTTGCTAGCCAAGGTAGATTTTAAATCTTTACTGTAAATCATTTTATATGTAAATTGTTCTTGCTAACAGTCAGATTATGTGGTTAACCACATAAAAGAGTTCATCAGCTGTTTTTACTCTCAATCATAAAGCAGTTCTAGTAAGAGTTTGAAAACTTATTCAACATTCAAAATCAGTTGTTACTAACAAATCTTTTTAAAATAATGGTAGGGTTGTTATAAACTAGCACTTTACCTCCTATATTCAAGTTTACTATTTAAGTATGAGGCAGGACACAATGCTGGGGTAAAAGATGTTATAACATGCATTTTTCTTCAGTATCAGCCAGTACAACTATAAGAAATTGAATAAATTAGAATATAATTTTCCTGGGGTTTAACACTGCCTCATGTATCATTCTTTTCACAGACTAGTGAAACACAGTCTAGAACAACATTAATCAATTTTTTCACCCCAAGATTTTAACCAGTTAAGTACTTGGTCCAAGTAGCTTCTGAAACATGGAAAGTGTTTTTCTGCCAGATCTGCTTTGTAAACCTCCTGAAAGGCATGTCTTGTAGGCCAAGAAAGCCTGCTGTACATGAAACCTCTCTAAAGTCACACTCATACAAAATGCCAATCCAAAGGCTTACGGCCAAGTTAGAGGGGCAAGTCAAATGACACTGCAGAGATCAGTGCTAGATCTGGTACCATTTAATTTCAGCGATGAGTTGAATTCACATTCTCCTGGATGTCACAACATGCAGACTGTTGTTTTAGGGTAGATATATTTCTTTCACAGATTTTCATCATCAAAATGGACTATTCCTTCCAGGAAATTTAGTCTCTCTGGCTCCAAACCCTGTTGTCAAATCTGCCCGAAGTAATGCATCCTAAAACTTTATGTTCTGGTGAAATAGCACATTGGGTTTACGTGACAAGGTTTTCGTAGCAGGGAGCTACCAAAAATCTCTGTTCCAAACAAGGACAAGATATCAATTAAGTACATTCAAGTTTTGGTTTTCAAGATCCATTTCCGGGTAGTGGAGAGAGTACAGAATTTATTTATCGTTACTGTCCTTATTAAGTGACCCTTTAATCCACCCTGTCTCTGCTCAGTTGATATCCTAGGTCACCTCTGACCACTTAATACAGGACTACAGGCTGATAGCTACATAGCACTACTAAAAATGGGCTCCTCCTTCCTTGTTCAGACAGTATTTATTCTATTATTAAAAGCGTAGTTACTTTATTTTGTAAGTCAATATGGAAAATATCTAAGTTAATTAGCATACCATCGAATTTATGAAATGATGCTTTGTTAGCCCATGTTACAGAACCACCATCTCACACTGAATGCAGCAGATTATATATGTAAATGAGCTTTGAGTTCAACTTAGCTGATAACGCTGTTATTAAGATAAGTTCTCAATTCTGAGTATAATTGTGAGTACATTTCCTCTGGTAGGAAAGCTTTTTCTTGGTTATGAAAGAAAAATGTCACCTGTGAAGAAGGTTCTTTGTGTTAGCAACTGAGAGTTATTATTTCTGCTTCCTTCTGAATCTCAGTTCAAGAAAAATGTGTTAAAGCCATATAAATCAGTAATTTTCTTCTGCCAGACTTTCAGTCACAGATGGAGCATGTATGTTTATGTATAAAAATCAAGTTAATATACGTTTATGCGTGCATGAACACTTCATTTTTTTCCACTCACGTATTTATAACCTTCTACTGTTAACGACCTTCCTCCACAAAAAATGAAATACAAAGTAAAGTGTCTTTTACCTTTGAATCATATGCAGATTGCTTTATGACTTCGGGTGCCATCCAAAAGGGTGTTCCCACAAAGGTATTCCTCTTTATTTGTGTATCTGTTAGTTGTCCTGCTACTCCAAAATCTGCCAGTTTTACTTCTCCTTGTTCAGATAGCAATACATTAGCCGCTAGAATAAGGATGAGGAAATAGTGTTAGAGGAGCTCATGCACTATAAATTAAGACTCTTGCAAAATCACATTTCTTAGTTTCAACTATCATGATACAAATAAAAACAATTTACCTTTAATATCTCTGTGGATTTTCTTTTCTGAGTGTAAGTAATCAAGTCCTTTGAGTATCTCCCTCAGTATTGTGGCGATCTGGGTTTCATCAAGTGAGCCAGGTTCTAGCTAGGAGACAGAAGAAGAATTTATGTGTGTGTGTGTATAAAAGGAGAAATGGAGAGACCAGAAATGGAACTGTGAGCATGAAATAAATCCTTCTACCACACCTCAAAACTTCTCGTTTGCTAATTTTGTAACATGAGACACAATCCACAATACCCTCAAGAAAATACATAGTTCTAAACTAAGTTGTCTTGTGAAAAACAAATATTTAAGTTATCTAAAATGCTTCTGAAAGTTTTTAAATGTTCCATAAAGACACAATTTCAAGTTATCACGTTATTGCTTTGTGGTCAAGTCATACACAGTCTTTGAAATCATCTACGTTATCAACTCCTTCTTAAGATTACACTGAATTTAGATGTGCAAGTCTATATGGACCCAAATCTCGAAGTCTGAGAAGGAAACTGAGGTATTTAAGGTGCCACATCAGCCATCTCATCCAGCATTACTATATGTTAGATGAGATTGTGTGAAGTTCCCCAAAACACAACTCAAAACTCCAGGCTGACAAAGCTCTGCATATTTAAGAAGTTATCTTTCTTCCACATAAAACTGAAGGTGTAAGTCTGTAAATCATGAGAATGAACAATTCTGAGTAATTTCATTCCGAGAAGAGACAGCAGGGGGAGGATATCTCACAGCTCTCTGCTTCTGAGATAAATTCTGAAACTGAGTGTGCCACTAACTGTAAAGTGATAGAGGAAAGGTCACTGCCTTAAACAGGCTTCCTAACCAGTAAGGGCATTTTGAGAGAAACACAAACCCAGAGAACAGTTCTGGTGCAGGGTGGTTGGGCACTGGGACGGGCTCCCCAGGGCAGCGGTCATGGCACCAAGCCTGCAGAGTTTGAGAAGCATTTGGACAACGTTCTCAGATACGTGGTCTGATTTTTGGGTGGTGCTGTGTGGAGCCAGGAGTTGGACTCAATGATCCTTGTGGGTCCCTTCCAGCTCAGGATATCCTAAGATTATACTCCTGTATTTTAGGCTACCCCAAAAGAACAGCCACTGAAAAACATATCAGATAAAAATAAAATACTACATCCATCAGAAATCCTCACCTAGTAAGCAGGAAAAAAGGTAGGAATTCAGGTAATCCCGACAACATATTATTTGTTTTTATCTTTGTAGCCTTGCTTTCGACCTTTTTTTTTCTTTACTCTAGCTTTGAAAACATCCTCATAAATGGTTCATCTCAGCATTGATATAATCTCAGTAAAACTAACATTCTGTTCTTATGAGAGCAATAAATAGGCACACACATGATGCTGCCACTCCCTGAAGCCCACAAAGACATTCTCAGGGCTTTGCTTTGGCTAGGCTGCAAATACCAGTTCAAGATTTGGCGACCATGGCACATTACATCCAACAGTGGGAACTCCTCTGTCAGATGTTAGCTCACCCAAATGAGCACAAAGTTGGGAAAACAGGCTGTGACTTGGACCACTGGTGCCTGTACCTTCACCACAAGCCTATTAAAATTGAGAGCCTATGTATTTGTAATTGCTTTAAGTGCACTTTCTCTCGCAAGGTGTGACTTGGAAAATAGCCTTTAGGTATTTAAGCACGGAAGACACCAGGCTAGTAAGTCATGCATACGCTTCAACCACAGAATTTGAGGTCCCCATGCAGCCTTGCTTTGTGTAAAAGCAAAATAAAGAGTGCCAATTCTCGTACTGGATTCCAGCTGGGGACCATGATGTGTATGTTTAGAGCCAGGAAAACAAGCAGCAGGACATGAATTCAACATGGATGAAGCACACAAGATGCTTGATGTACAAACACTTGGACGATGATTTCAGTTCTTCAGTTCTGTAGCAAAATCCTTTCAATGACATTTCAAGACGTGACCAAAGACTTTGTACTATTCTAGGCAACAACTTACAGAACAAATATGTTCTGTATATTTTTATGTTATCTGTATATTCTGTATGTTATCACACAGGTGAATGAATGTGATTTTAAAAAAAAAAGATTCAGAAGGAATATTTGAGAACATCTTTTTTCTTCTCACTCTTACACACCTTTTTGACTTATTAAGTTATAGAAGTACACCCAAACAGTTTCTAGTTGCTTTTCTTTTTGCTTTCTCACTTGTCCTTTTTTCAGGACAAAATTATCAGAACAACAAATATACTTTTTTCGCAATATATCTTTGTTAGGAACATTATTTCTACATAAGCACAGAATTCCTTCTTAGAGGGTATGGAAACTAAAGGTATAAATGGGTTCAAAAAGGTAATCCCAATTAAAGCATAGCAGCTCAACTGCCAGAAGTCTGCATTTACCAGCCTCTCCTCTCATCTTCAGGATGTCAGCAGCAGACTGCCACACAGGCATTTATACTTTCACTCTTTCTTCAAGCATTTATTAGTTGCCCCAGGTGAGAACAACAAACTGCTGCAGTCAGTCAGTCTCAGCTGGTATGATAATTTGCATGTACTCAAAACACGTATTATCATTTTCGTAATACTATTTTTTAAATCCACAATAAATACAACACTGTATGTGATTTTTTATTTTTTAGATGGCTGATGTGAATTGCCAGCATCCAGGCCAGGAAAATGCAATCTACATTGAACCTTTTGAATTATGATTCAAAATTGGGCAATTATTTTGACAATTTATCTGGTGCAATTAATCTCATCTTTCAAACATATTGAACCACCTCTATAACCATTCTTCGCCAAGCAGATCTCCTTGCAGCACTCTTTGATGGAAGAGAAATGGAATGGATATGGTTCACTAAGTTTGCAATTTATAAGGTTGTACTTTTTTTCTCTCTTCTTTCTTAACACAACCAGGGAGAATTGTGTTAGGAGAATTACGAAACAGAAAATACCGTTTTCAGCCTTTAGTGTTCTCTGGTTGACTGAAGATCAGCATTCAAAAATGTTTATATCCTGCTTCCAATATTAGGTTGCTTAGCTCCCTACCATCTCTATAAATAATCAGTCATGCCTCATGGAAAATAATATTTTCCTGGCATTGAGAAGCATTTTTTTCTCCTTTACTGGAATATCCAAATTAAAACAAAATGTTTTGTTTAAGGCATCTGGTTATGCTACCTTCCAACTTAGAAAGTAATAATTTCACTTGTAAGACCATAATTTTCTGCTATTATTACAAAAAAGAGTATCACAGACAAATGATACCACTAATGTTTCCAGAATTATATTGGAGGACAATTAATGTGAGGTAAGGTAACAAAAATCATATAAAGTTTACTTACTAGATCAAGTGCAGAGCCTCCACCCAGATATTCCATTATTATCCATAACTTTGTATCCTGCAAAACAAAAAACAACAGAAAATACATTAAGTTTTAAAACAATCAGTTATCATTAAGTTATAATGGGAATCATTCCATTCTTTTTGCTGAAGAATCTACTGTTTTAAATTACTATAAATGTTTAGCTGTTCCTCCAAAACACCTTTGGGTTATTCTTTACAATGTGATATTACTTTTAGTCCCATCTGATGTGGAATTCATTTAGTCTGCCACAAGCTATTTACACAACTATCTGTGCTCAAAAAAAAAATAAATAAAAATCTGTTCATCTAAATCAACAGGAGAAAAGCTACTTCATATGTACCGACAGGTAAGAGGGCAGACATTAGAAGCTGATTGCTTCTAAATAACTGATGTATACTCTTAAACATCAAACTCAAGTTCATTTTATGGTACCTCCTTTGTGCCCTGATACTAATGCTATTATAATACAGATTGTAACGAGGCAAGAAGAATTTTCTTTTCAATTCCTGCCAAACAGTCGTGTAGCAGGACACCTCTTGCCTTTATGCTGAAAATATGAAGAGCATCTCTTCAGTGTCTAATTCAATGGTCAAAGCTTCAGAACTGGGAAACAAAAAAGGCTAGAACCAAGACTGGACAATTGCTCTGAAACTCTGAGTTCACTTATCTATTAACATGCAGGAGCTACCCACCTACTTGTTCTTATCACCCTCATGAGTACATTCTGAAAAGTATTTGCTGAGACATGAAAGAGACGGGAAAGTGGAGGAGTATAAACTCACACATTTAAAAATTCTGATTACAGACATTCAAAATACCAAATACATCATATATAGTAGATTTCCTTTCATTAGTATAAAATGTCTTGATTTTGATTATCTTTGTTCATACAGATACTACAAATATTTTCTTGCATAACTTGACTCCTGTCTAGGTTGACTTTCATTTAAAATTTATTCTTCACATCACTGCATTGTTTCAGCTTCTTGAAAGGTAACCCACAACTTATTTGTCTCTGACCTAAGGAAGAATACAGGTAAATTGTCTCCTCTATTGTTCATGTATAGAATTTCGGACAACTATGTTCAAGAAAGATGAAGCAAACTAGTAAGATAAAGAATTATTTAAGATAACTACTGCAATTTGTTAGCTTTAGATAGTAAAATAAAAGCTGAAGAAAAAAAACGAGCTACTATATTCTCAAGGAAAAGTTTGATACACATTACAGGAGTGTTTAATAAAAATATGCCATACACTGTAAAAGAGACTGGACCCAGTCACTTCTCTCTGCTGTTTGCAGTATTTTATTCTCAGGTACACTAAGAGAAGCATCAAATCCATCCACCCTACAGTAATGCACCTCCTGTAGGTAACAGCACGCAGCCCTCCCCACCCACCTCCAGATTCACAAACTGTACCATTGTTAAGATCGATCTTGGATTAGTTCCTTCATCACCCACTATTTTTAACACAGAGATCCCATTAAATTTAGATACTTGTTCTTCAGGAGTCAATGGTATTTGACAAACATTCAATCTTGTTAAAAAGACTTTAAAAGAACCAAAACATTTTTTTAGGAAAAAAAATATTTAAAATACAATTTATCTTATCTACATATAGCATGTGGATAATGCTTACTTTTTGCAGACATCACAGACATTCCAAGAATCACTCCCTATCTTGAAAGAGTCCCTTAACAATTCTGAAATATGTACTTTGCTGCTTCTCAGTTTCTCAGATTTTGCCTTAAGTCTTCTGGGTTCTAACAGTTCGAGAACAAGCATGCTTCTGAGAGGTGTCTTACTCTAAGTTACTTCACATTCAGAAAACTTCCTCAGCTCAATCAAAATTATCATATATATTTTATATATCGCTACATATAAAAAACCTCACCTGCTTCCATCTGAAAATTTGTTTTCTAAAGCAGCATGAAATGCCCCGAGTATTCCAATTTTATGTGTCCGCAAATAATAATTTAAGCGCAAACATGTCAGCTGTATCACTCTCTACCTGTTATTCCGATGGAAAAGAAAAAGGCAGGGCAAATGAACCCCTTGATCCTCTCTCTCAAAAAAACAAACAAACAAACAAACAAAATGAAACAAAACAAAACAAACAAAAAAGGAGTCAAGAAGAGATGTGTCTTCCTTTTTCTATTATCTCAATTACCATGTGGATTTAGAGAAACAATTTTAATTAAGATGTAACTATTTCCCCAAAGAGAAATTCTCACAGAACTAGATATTGAATTTTCCAGCCTCAGAATTGAAAAAAAAAACTTTGAAAATAGTTATTTAAAATAAGTTGCAAATTAGAAATCCAGAAGCGGCATAAATTAACTAAAAATTATAATTAAAGAATATAATTTTAATTGTGTAGATACACAATTGTGTAATATAAAATTACACAATAATAAATTACAGAAGTCAGACTTTTTTTTTTAAATCCTCACTTATCTTTTCACTTTTTTCGCTAGTTTGCTCAGCCTTTTCTCCTAAAGCTTTCATCATCAACTGCTTAGGGTCCTATGTCTGAATTTACAATATAGTAACCATGAATCCAGTAAACTCAGGAATACGAAGGTCTTAAAACAGATCTAAAATTCAGTAAAGTGTGGAAATGCTTTTAGGACACACAACTATTGATATCCCAGTGTGCAGCTAAGCAGTAGCTATCAGTTATGGCACCTTTATATTTGTAGCCTGAGATTAAGAGTGATCTTTAAGGCCCATAGTTCATCCTTCCCCTTGCCACAGAAATGCTGCTCAATTTCAAGGCCTGTATTTAGTTAAAGTTTTCATCATTCATGCAAAATACCTGCATAGAGGTAACTACTGTTGTAGTGAATCTTAACAGCACCTTCAATTGACCCCTACTGGAAGTCTTTGGCTTTCTTAGTTCAAATCTTCACACTGCTTAACAAGAAAAAAAAAGTGCTTTTGGTGAAGCAGTTTTAATGAATTGCTTGATACATATTTTACTTTTAGAGCCAGTAACCTGTATACACTTATTTTATGCCACGCAACAACAGCAAAACACAAGTAGAGCACCACTGTCAACTCACTTTGGCATCACCAGAGTAACAAACCTCCCTCCTCTTGCCCTTCCTTTACAAGCATCTCTGGCATGCTTCACAATCCCTAACTTACTGCCACTTTCCGTTTTAAGGATGTTGAAATTGTTTTTCTTGCCTGTACTTCTTTCTTTGTTCAGCACTTATCCCGCATTTTTCCTTTCAAAGGAAGCACTAAAATCATTAAATCTTCCACAGCCTAGATTAATAATTACATATTTACACAAAATCACTCGCATTTGCAAAAAGAAGCTACACTTACATACTCAGACTAGGACCATTAAGTGTTCAATTTTAAGATCTGAAGCAAGACCAATTGTCTTCTTAAGCATCAGTCCCAACATAGCATTGATTTTTCTTCCAAGCACAGTGGAGCCATGGTGAGTCATCAAGCCAAATTTAGGATTACTATTTCTCTAGATGAGCGCATTAATTGAAGGCACACGGTACATTTCCTTTTTCAACGTAGGAACAAGAGGTTTTTTCTCTGGTGCCATGAAACTGGGCAAAGGAACAGCTTTGCAATCTAAAAGCTCTCTCACAAATGCAGAGCTTCTGTGAACCCTTTCCAAACTAGGTTGCTCTTCTTACAGTTGGACTTCTGATTTTAACTCTAAAATCACACAAAAGCCTTACAATAGCAGCATTATTTCTGATGAAGTATTCACCATTTATTCACTTATACACCATGAAAACAGTTGTAAGATAAGCGCAGTTACAGCAAGTAAAGAACTTCTTTTAATATGTAAAATCAAGGACCATCCACTCCCCCCAGCTATCCAACAAAAAAATCTCCCCTACAGTCTCCAAAGCAGAACAGAAATCAGAGTGTAGAAGAAATATACAGAAATAAGTAATCAAGATTAAAATGTTTCTTTACAAGTCATTATGAAGCTAACAAAACATTTCAACAAACATGGAGAAGGCTAGCCTCAGAGATTTGTTTGTGTATTTGTTTATGTATTTAGCAGGAAGAATGTACACACGTGTTTCTTTGCGGTATGATATTAAACAGGAGAGATTCACCTACGTACTGGGTTTATGTGGCAAGGTTTTGGTAGTGGGGGGCTGCAGGGGTGGCCTCTGTGAGCAGAGCCCAGCAGCTGCCCCATGGCAGGTCAGAGCCAGCTCCAGACGGCTCCAAAAGGGACCCACTGCTGGCCGGAGCTGAGCCGGTGACGTTCATTGTGCCTCTGGGAAAGTAGTTTTAAGGAAGGGAAAAAACTCCTGCACAACAGCAGCCGGGAGAGCAAGGAGTGAGAACCAGGCCTGCAGCCCCCAGGTGAGCGCAGCAGAAGGGCAGGAGGTGCTCCAGGCAGGCAGCAGCAGTTCCCCTGCGGGCTGTGCAGGGAGAGGCCCCTGGTGGAGCAGGCTGTCCCCCTGCAGCCCATGGGTCCCACATGGAGCAGATCTCCACGCTGCAGCCCCCCCATGGGTGGAGGAGCCCCCGGTGGAGCAGGTGGATGTGGCCTGGAGGAGGCTGCGGCCCATGGAGAGGCCCCGCAGGAGCAGGCCCCGGGCCGGAGCTGCAGCCCATGGAGAGGAGCCCACGCAGGAGCAGGGGTCTGGGGGGATTTAAATGTTATCTAAATCACCTTTCCTGAGAGAAAGAGGGGTTGCAGAGAATAAGATAATACAGCGTCATGAACAAGAAGGACCAGAAGAACTTGAAGCACCAGCTGACCTGTGCAGCGCTTCAGAGTTTAGCCACAAGTCTTAGAACGAGGAAGTCAATTAATGCACTTTGAAAACTGTTGCACAACCGTGAGCCCGCCTGTTTTTAAGCGAAACAAAATCCTCCCACCTATTGTAAGAATATTTCCCACCTTAAATTCATGGTGCATGATTAGCAGCAGAATAAAAGGTACTTAATAAACAAACGTGAAATCCTTTTACTGAGGGCTTGGTTTGGTTCAGAGACAAATGATTGGCAAATCCCACTCAGAATCTGTATTTGCAA